AAAGTTTATCACATGGAGGAACAGATATAGAAGCTCTCACGAGGAAAAAGGCATAATGGAGCAAGGCTATGCTTTCTAGTTTTTCTTTCTAGACTTACAAATCAGATTAAAGTGTTCCTTCTCTCCTGGAGGAGAGTGTGTGCCCTGCAGAGAGAGGCCAGGAGTAGCAGGCTAATGGACATCCTTTCATAGGGAGGAACCATCAAGAGTAAAGAGTTCCATTATCCCACCACCGTTAAAGCGTGCATCCCTCTAGGCATGCTTGACCAGATGTGCTGTGTTACCTGCACCCCCCTTGATACAGTTCTTATTTCTGTGACGAAACCATTGAGTGGGTAAAGGCAGCTTCTTCATTAAATAGAGAAGTCAAGTATTAAATACATAAGCAAATCAGAAAAAAAAGAACAGAAAGCAGTTAAGGCTGCCAGTTGATTTTAATTCTTGGATGCTTTTGCCTCTTAGCCTTTAATAAATGGAAAAAAATGAGTGAGTTTTCCTAAGTCAGGTGTGATGTAGGGGGGAAAGAGCACAGTGTTTCAAGATAAGCATCTGAAGTCTGGCTCTGCCTCTCACTGGCTGTGCCACATTGGGCAAGTAATTTTACGTCTTCAAACTTACTTCGAAAAAAGTAACACCAACCTCAAAACCTGAAGTTTAAATGGTTATAAAGCACCCAGTCTGGCATCTGATAGGTAGTAGGCAGTCAATTCCTGGTAGTTATCACCACCTTTTACTGAAAGAAACCTGTCTGCCTGGACACTCCTTGCATGGGGACAGGGATGTGAGCAGCCTTTGCTGCAGTCCCCTTGTCCTACATCATGTGGCAGGGTGACTGGGATGACGCACCCGATCCACCCCACGTGCTGTGAACCAATGCCCTGCCTCTTTCTCTCAACACAGGTTGGAGCACAGTGAATGGGACTCTGCCCGGACTCCTATCATTGGCTCCTGTGGCACTCAGGAGCACGCACTGTTAATAGACCCTCCGGGCACTAGTTGTCGCAGGGTAAGAAGGATAAAGGGTAAAGAGGGCACTGTGCTAGTCTGTGGGGCCAGCTGTGCTGAGGCACGGGGTCAAGGAGGAGGAATGTGGACTTCCAGGCACCGAGCAGCTAGGACTGGAAAGCTTTGGAAGGCTGGAGGAAACTGGTGGAATTTGCCAATTTGTTGACCTTCAGAGGACTTTCAGGATATATATGTGTGTGTGTGTGTATATATATAGATAGATATATATATATCTATATATATAGGGGTTGGGGAGAGGAAAGGGACATATCTCTACAGGGTAAAACTCTCTGACGCTCCAATTTTTCTTGCAGTCACGGAGCGGTGCTGGATGGAAGCGGGTCCTGCGTTCGCTCTGTTATTCCCGAACCCGGGTGCCTCTGCTAGCAGCCATCTACTTTTTGATGGTTCACGTCCTACTCATTCTATGTTTCACGGGCCATTTGTAAACTTCGTTCTCACCTTGGGAACACTCCTCTCAGAACTTGGAATATCCTCACCTCTAACATCAAAACCATCCATTCCAGTGGAATAGTCTTCCCACTTACAGGTCCTCTCTCCAAGTCTCCACGGAAAGTGCCTGCAAGACAGAAGTGAATGGAGCACCGGTTAGAGCTGCAAGGACCATCGAGTCTGCTTTCTACTACTGTCTGGGGCCTGGACAGTTCTGCGGAATCTGAGGAGGCTCCACGTTTGATGGCTGGGCTCAAGATTTGTTCAGATTGTGTTGGGCTCTGCTCTCTTGCGGTCCTGTGAAAGGTGCTGAGGAATGTGTTTCAGCCAGGAGGGTGGCTCCAATAAACCTAATAATCTGAAGTCCAGTATCATTTTGATTGATACTTTATTTGCTTCATTTACCTTATATTTTCTCCTGCTTCAAGGGGAAGGTGGACCCACCATAATAAAGTTCTGGGGAACATTAAGATACCTGATTAGGTCTCCTGGGTGGGAGCTGAAGAACTCCCCAGGGGTTTTAGCTGTTGGATCACAGGAAAGGACAACATCTCCTTCCCTGACTGTTCAGACATCACTGGAGTAAGATGTGTGGTCCTGAACTGTAAGGATAGGATCCCATCGCTGATGCCCTTGATGATATGTATACTCAGTGGCCCTTGCCTTTCCTTCACTGAGAGGCAGGAAGAACTGGTTATGGACAGCGGGATTCAGGTGCTTGTCATTCTGTGTCATCTGGTTATGCCTCGAATGTGGGCCCTGCGACAGTACACTAGGAACCAGGCCTAGGTGAGACACTGACTCCCAACCAGGGAGATCTGACTGGTCTGGGGATCACCGCTAGCCTCTTGAAGTACTAAGCTACTTTGCTGTTGGTAACAGTTAATTCTGTTTTCTCAACTTCATATTCATCTGCTCTCTCTGGCAGTAACAGCTAAGGAAAAGGGAGAGAGAATATGGAGAAGACAAGACATTTATATCAGGCCTGAGAATGACCGCAGGATCAAATTCCATTTGTGCCTATTCCCCACCTCCCCTCAACCCCTCCCCTCCCCCTCGGCCCCTACCTGTTGATTACTTTCTCATTATGCACATGATGTCTTCCTGGCCTGCTCTCACCACCCAAAGAACTGACTGATCTGCTCTAACTATTTGTTCTGTGGCAACCAAACCTTGGTCACCCCAACCCAGGATCTTTCCTGAATAACTGTAAAATAATAAAATTATTTTCAGAATGAAAAGCTGGTGGTGTGTGTATGTGTTCATGAGTGCTTACATACATGTGTTTGCATGTTGAGCGGAAGAAGGTAGAGAAAGGATGTAGGAGTGGGGCAGCCAGGAATGGTACAGGGGTAGAAAGCTCTACATATTTCAGGTTTCCTTCTCTGACCAATGTCGGTGATGGCTACCTGTATCCTTCCAGCCTAGCTGCTAGACCTCAGCCTGGGCAAGTAGAGTGAGGAAGTTTAATCTAAATACTGAACCAAACAAGCTGGGCCTTACAGCGTAAGATTCATGCAGGTATATCCCCGGGCCTGGGAGAACTCTTTATCTGGTGCATATTGAAAACATGAGGTCCCTAGGGGTCCTCCTGGGTGGGAGTGGGGGAAGGAAAGTCTAAGGTATAGCAGAATAGGCTTATTATGTTTTTACATTAAGTTGCTGGTTGAGAAAACTTACTTTCTCAAGGTACAACAGTTGAACTGTCTGTCTTCAATGGTTGGCCATTTCTATGTGCACAGCTTGCTGCCTCTCATTGGCATTGAACTTGGGACATTTGCTAAGGAGAGATGAGGTCTCTTGGTGGTATCTCTAATTAAATTTTATCGTTTGGCTCAGCGAATAGAGCATCGGCCCTTGGACCAAAGAGTCGCGGGTTTGATTCCGGCCAAGGGCACATACTTCGGTTGCAGTTAAGTCCCCAGCCCTGGTTGGGGTCATGCGGGAGGCAACCAATTGATGTGTCTCTTTCACAGATATTTCTCTCTCTCCCTCCCTCCTACTCTATCTGAAGATAAATGGGAAAATATCCTCTGGTGAGGATTAAAAAAAAAATTACAGTTTCTTGCCCAGCCAGTGTGGGTCAGTGCATTGAGCATTGTCCCATGGACTGAGAGGTCCTGGTTTGATTCCCGGTCAGGGCACATGCCCAGGTTGCGGGCTCAGTCCCCAGAAGGGTGCATGCAAGAGGCTGCCAATTCATGTTTCTATTTCTCCCTAAAAAATCGATAAAACCATATTTTAAAATGTTTATAGTTTCTCTAAAAAACTACCTGGATGGTGTATCATAGCATCTGGTCAGATCATTTCTATTTTCAACTCTGAATTAGGATTTAAAATGATCTAAGAGATGTTTTCCCCTTTCTACAAAATTTAGTTTTCCTTAAATAATTTTGGTGCTGCCATGATAAATAGGTCTTAAAGTAGGAGAGGTCAATAAATACAACTCGCAGGCATAGAATCCTTAGATTTGGAAGTGACTCAAGTCTGGCTTATTCCTAATGAAGAAATCCCCTCCTCTGTCTCTTAGATTAGTTTCATCCAGTCTCTGCTTGAATCTAGTGGGGAGCTCATGATTGAGCAAATCAGGTCACAACCCCATCTCAGTCAAGATTAGGAAAGGCTAGGTCAGATACAAGGATGAATACCCTCTGATTTTGAGTAGTTAAAACAACGAAGGGTTATTTTGTAGCCAAAGACTCCAAGTCCCTCACACAATAGATTTGAGTGTTGTTCTCTGTTGGGGACTCCCTCCCACTGAAGAATTTGCAGGTGGTGGACACTGGGCAGAAGGATGGTAAGGCTTGCTCTGATCTTAAAGTCTCTACCAGAAAGTGATGTAATTCATTACATTTCACTGGCCAAAACTAGTCACCCAAGCAAGTCTGACTTCAAGAAGGAAGGGAAGGGCAGCAAATCTTTAGGAACATAAATACAACATGCTGCAGACCTCGACCACCCAGTACCACCTAGAGCTTTCAAACTTCCTAGTGTGTGGAACCAAATCTTCTTACCGCTTAGCTCAGAGTCCTCACTGTGCCCTAAACAATCTGAGTTCTTCTCCCTCCATGTCTTGCCTTTCCCCTGTGACTTATTCCCTTCCATCATTCACTCTATCAATATTTATTTGAACACCTACTATGTGCAAACCCAGTTTTAAGTGCTGTGGGTAATGTAAAAGTGAGTCTCTTTAAATCTTACCCTGCCGGATCCACATAACAATCATTTCCCCATTAAGCCTTGATCCCCTCAGCCAATACTAAACTGTCTGCATTCCTTTACTAGGACGTGTATACCTGCCCACATAATCAAGACACAAATGCTGTGCTCCAGCATTCTGATACGTTTTCTGGTAGAATGTTTTGCTTCCCTGACCAGATATAAACTGAAAGTAAGAGCATTTTTCTTTAACTTCCCCATGGCCTTCAAAGCCTTGCAAAAGACTAGGCATAGAAGCAGTTGGTCCTTTTTTGTTTAAGTGCCTAAGCAGAAGTAACTGACTCAGACTTCAGGAAGTAACTGCAAGGACACGGTGGCAGGAAATGACAGAAAACCTGAATACGGAACTGAAGCATCAGCTCATTTTCTTGTTCAGAAGTGGCAACAGCCAGAGAAGGAGCTAAGTGTTGACGTGAGGAGCTGGGAGCCTAGACAGACACTCGCACCGTTGAAGGTGGGTACCCTGAGCAGTGGGAAGGTAAGGGGGCACAGGGCAAGAGCTGAGGTGAGAGGAACCTACCTGGCTCTTAGTACTTGTTGAGAGATGAAGTCACAGCTAGGAAACTTTTAACCTTTTATGGCCAGAAGGCCTGGGTGGGAGTGGTTGTGGATAATGAGCATCTGCCGAAGGAAACAGAAGTGGGGTCTGGAGCCCAGGGAACATGATTCAGCAGCCATCAATCCAGGACCCCCAGTTTCTGTGGATAGTCTACAACCCTCTCTTAAGGCTGGTTGCTCCGAGGCACCGAGTTGGGAGGAGGACCACAGGAGGTGAAGACAAAGTCTCTGCTCTTGAACAGGGAGCCACAATTCACATGGAAGACATTGTCCCATAGATCAGGGAGCAGTTGCTCATGTACACGGGTGCTGATGGAGGCCAAATGGCATGACGGTGCGGCTAGGGTTAGTTTCTGTGATTGCATGAGTGCAGAATGTCAGAAATGTAGGGGACTTTATAGATTAGCTAGGCTAACCTCTTCATTTATTTTTCCACTGGGGAAAACAGTATCAGATATTCAATGATTTACCAAATCATTGAAGTTACTGTTTGTAAATTGCCTACCCTGGTACCTGGCTAATAAGTAATAACTCTATGTTGATTCTCTTAGCCATATTTCCACAAGGGGCTTAGTAACAGAGCTGGGTGATCTGACTCCCTGTCTGTGCACTTTGCTGGTGCTATAAGGCAGCCTTATGAGAATGACAGTTTGGTACCCCATCAACAGAAGGCACCTGGTGTTCTGGGTGCCAAGATTGACCAAGTTATTCTCCCGTCTCTCACCTCTAGCTTCTTGGCTTCCCTACTACTGGCCAGTAGCTCAAGGATATTTAGATGTCTCTGTGTCAGAAACTTCCCTTTGTTTTAAAAATGCATGAAGATGGAAGATTTATGGGAAAGTCAGGCTGGGACTTCAGAGGAAGAACAGGAAAGACAATAGGACCATCAGTCCTCATTGCTCCCTTATTGCTCACAAATATTTCAGAAATGTCTCCTTTCCAGTTTTTGTGTGTGAAGTCCTTTTGTTGCAGAGCAGCCCAGGAGCCAGAATCTAGGTCTTGATTACCTGCCCCACCTCCATCCATAATTGTTGCCCCATGGGGAAAGTAGAGCTGGTCTCAGCAGTGACTCATCCCACAGTGCAGCTGACTTGGTGAATACTTCTCCAGTGTCTTTTTTGCAAATCTTTAACCAGTCTGCCAGAAACTTCCCTTGGGCTGGTTTCCAAGGCATTTTTCAAAGAGCATGCAGAGGGAGTTTTCCAGTGGAGAGGAAGATCAGAGTCCGAGAGCCTGGGTAGAGGCACTGTAGAGTCCTAGTAGTGGCTGTAAGAGAGACTCCTTTGAGAGACAGCAAAGAGCTTGGGAAAAGACACCAGTGGGATGAGGAGTCTGAGCAGGGAAGGATGAGCCCGGGAGTTGCCAGCTAGCAAGTGGTTTCAGGGTCAAGAGGTCTCAGCAGCCATCAGAGCAGATGAGCATTATGTTTCCTCTTCCCACCTCAGTCCAACATCCCATGTGGGGCGACACAGCTGCTCCTCATGCACAACTGGCAGGCTCAGTAGAAACAGGAGGGATGCCCCAGTAGAATAACAATTTGGTACCCCATCAAACATGTTCTCTAAATAGTTCTTTATCATTTATTTAGTTAATAAAAATCTAATAACTCCTAATGTTCAAAGTAAGGGATTTATTATATGCAATTTTTGAGTCAGTTATCTTTTTCAAAATATAATTAAACTATTTTTTTAAATTAAAGAATATAGAGTTTTTTTGAAAAGAAAGAAAAAGGTAAAATGGAAGACTAAGTGACTTATTCCCAGAAATAATGCTTCCCTGTGTATTGTTCAGTGTATGAATTTTAGCCCTACAGACCTCATGCCGCCGTTCAGTGGCTGGTGTGAGTGGAGGTGGGACAGCACTCACAACGGGGGCTGGCAAATTGCTTAATAGAGTTAAACAGGTTGTAGAGAGGAGTGCAGATGTTCACTTTATCAAGAGATGGACCAATATATGTTTTGATAGCTATAAAAGAGTCATCTGTAGCCCTGGCCGGTTTGGCTCAGCGGTTAGAGCGTCGGCCTGTGGTCCTGAGAGACCCGGGTTCGGTTCCCGCTAAGGGCACGTACCTTGGTTGCAGTTTGTCCCCGGCCCTGGTTGGTCGTGCGGGTGGCAGCCACTCGATGTGTTCCTTTCACGTGGATGTTTCTCTCTCTCTCTCTGTTCCTCTCTCTCCCTCCCACTCTACCTGAACAAAAAATGGAAAAATGTCCTCCGGTGAGGATAAAAAAAAAAAAAGTCATCTGTAAAACCTGAGTGAAAGGGTGCTATAATTCCAGCAATGTTCTAGCGCCCCTTATTGAGTGGTCTCTTGGCAAATGAATTATCCCAGCAGTTTTTGCACCCATGTTACTTATTGTTACTTATACCCATAATGACTTCTATCCAGACTCAGGTGTGCCCAGGCCATGGTAGTCTGTCTTAAATCCACAGAGGTACTTTCCTAAAATTTCCATCTGATTTGCCTCAGTTTCTAGTATCTCCTAACAAAATATGGCAAGAAACATTGAGCTGCTAGATCATTGACTTCAGCATTCTTGTTTCCCCTCCTCTTGACTTTTCCCCCTAATTATTGCCATCTTCTGTCACCTTCAGATGTGGAAGTCCGTAGTTGGACATGACGTATCTGTTTCCGTGGAGACCCAGGGTGATGACTGGGACACAGACCCTGACTTTGTGGTGAGTTTGGAAATAGCTTTGCTTGGATGATGAAAGGTAGAGGAGAGGCATCTGGGCCACTCTGTAACCTTTCAGGGGGCTTAGAAAAAGGACAATTTGGGGCCGAGATAGCCCTCACAGTGGAACTAACTGGTAGGGCCATTGGCTGTAATGAGTGGGGCATGCCGGATACCTGATGCTGAGGATGGAAGGAGACAGGTGAGAAGGAGAGAGGAGTTTGACATTGTGATTGATGGGCTATGGCAGGCTATGCTGAAGGAGCAGGTTAACCTGGGTCTCCTCTGGCCTATGAGCCAGGATCTGGGCTGGACATTTGTAATTTGGGGGGATTCAGAAGTTGTAGGAGACCTGAAGGGTAAAGTGTGAGCGATGCAGTGGGAAGGGAGGTTTCAGAGCTCACCAGTTTAATTTAACATGAGGGAGGGGGGCAAGGTGGGTATACATAGAGAGGCATCTGACTGAAGGAGGCGGCAGATGTAGGGGACATGGAGGTCATGTGTCAGCGGCATGGCCTCTCAGTGCAGCTCTTGCCGTCACTTATTGTTGGGTGCTGTCTTTTGCAGAATGACATATCTGAGAAGGAGCAGCGATGGGGAGCCAAGACCATCGAGGGCTCTGGACGCACAGAACATATCAAGTAGGTACCACATGGACTAAGAAGTGGGAAAGGGATGTTGGAAGAGCCCATGGAAAACTCAGAGACTCAGGGAGGAAGGAAAGAGAGAAGGTAGTTTGTCTCTGTGTCCTTGTGTTTTTTTTTCTTGAATCTGTCCCTGTTTGTTCTGATATGTGTGAGTCATTGTGTATGTCTGTTTCATGTCTCTCTTCTACTCCCCCTCACCCCTATCATTTCTTTCATTTTTCTAACAACTATGCTCTTTCCCCAAGTGGCTCTATTATAAGGGATTCAGAGAGGAAGTGGCTCAATTGCTGAGGTTGGATCACACTTTATCATCTATCTATCATCTATCTATCTATCTATCATCTATCTATTATCATCTTTCTGTCTATTCACATAAATGTAAGTGTATGTCTAGAATGTAGGGTGATTTCAGAGGGGTCAAGGAGGATTCAGTAAGATGTCAAGGTAAAGAACTCAGAATAAATATTGTAAAAGTAGGACAATATCAGGTCATACACCTGGTCTGAATGATTTTTTTTCCTAATCCTTACTCAAGGATATTTTTCTATTTATCTTCAGATAGAGTGAGAGGGAGGGAGAGAGAGAGAAACATTGATGTGAGGGACACATTGACTGGTTGCCTCCCGCACGACGCTGACCAGGGCCAGGGACAAACCACAAGCGAGGTATGTGCACTTGACTGGAATAGAACCCATGGCTCATTGGTCCATGGGCTGACACTCTAACTGCTGAGCAAACTGGCCAGGGCTGGTTGGAATGATTTTTAAAATAAAATTTGATATTGGACTACTTGATAGAAATTGGATGCTTTGAAAGGTGATATGAAGAAATGTGACACTTGGAAAGCCTGTTGATTAAAACTATTTTAGTAATGGCAGTTAGAGATCTTAATATTTTAATATAACCCAATATTAAAAACAGAAACAAAAACAAAAATAAAAATAAAATTCTGATACCATAAGAGAGAAGGTACTCACAGACATATGTAAGGGTTTGTACATTCAGATTGAGAGATTCCCTCTTCTCCACCCTGGATTATTCAGGATCATCTAGCCAGGGCAATCGCTTTGGGTAGTATCAGAATGTCAAATATTGGTAGCAAGGTAGACACAATAAACAGTATAACAAGAGCAGAAATAAAAAAGCAAAAATTGACAACTACAAACTAGGCGACAAAACTAATACAGCTCTAAGCTCCATTTTAACTCCCTCCCCCGCTATAACAACAGTGTTTTTACCTCTTTTTCCCCTAGATTTAAAAAAAATGTGCCCTGGCAGGTTTGCTCAGTGGTTAGAGCATCAGCCTGCGGTCCAGAGAGATCCGGGTTCGGTTCCCGCTAAGGGCACGTACCTTGGTTGCAGTTTGTCCCTGGCCCTGGTTGGTCGTGTGGGTGGCAGCCACTCGATGCGTTCCTTTCACATCGATGTTTCACTTTCTCTCCCCCTCTCACTCTATCTGAATAAAAAGATGGAAAAATGTCCTCGGGTAAGGATAAAAAAAAAAAATGTCAGTGGATGGCCACATTGTACAAACAACACCCTAGGAAAATTTGGCACATTTTTATATAATTTGATAAGATTAAGTACTATGCATTGTTGTTTAATCAGACATAAATGGTTTATCTTAATGATTGTAATAAATATTCTTAAACAATGCAAGCAATTCTGGCAGCAGTTGGAGGAGATGGGGAAAAATGGATCAGAGTTATGAAGAAAGCTTCTTTATGCCCTCTGTAGGCTCAACAATTCAAAAAACATAACAAAATAATACAAAAAAAAATGGGCTTCTTTTCTCTTCTGAGTAAAGGCCACTCAGTCCTGGTATCCTGAGAACTGTGAAGATTAGGATGCAAACTCTTGTACCTTTTCTCTCCCAGTGCCTGTCTCATGCATAGTAGGAGCAGAACATGTTAAGGATGACTTCTAATCGCTGCTATGGTCTTATGGGAAGAGCCTGAGTTTGGATTCCCAGCTCTGCCATTACCAGCAATGTGAATTTAGACATACAACCTCTCTAATCTCAGTGTACATGTTGGTCAGACAGAGATAATAACAGCTACCCTGTAGAATTCAATGGGCTAACAGGTATCAATGTCTAGAGCCGTACTTAGCACCTCAATAATGTTATTTCTTTTCTGTTAATATAGATTCATTTAATCAGATTTTCTTTCTGAAAACCTGACGTAAATATGTAAACAGATGACAGTCTTCCTTCTTACTAAGTGGTGTGTACGTGGACTATTCTGTTGCATAATCCAATAATACATTATGCTGACTGAAGACCCTTGGAGGTGTAAAATTTGGTGACCCCACATGTTCATTTATCAGCCTTGTTGGATCTACATATGATAGAATAAATGTGGAGACATTTACACAAAACCTACTCCCCTCCCATTTACTCAGGCTACCAAGGTGCAAAAAACCAGTCTCTGCTGGTGACTAGCCAGGTGACCTTGGACAAGTCACTTCTCTTCTCAGATTCCCAGGTTTCCTATTGGAATAAAAAAGACCTGTAGAGGACCTTCCAGTAGCCCTCTCTGGCTAGTGTGGGCTAATCCAGTCTTTCAGATCAGATGGGAATCATTAAGGTTCGTGGGAAAGGGGGGGAAGTTGCAGAGGAGAACAGTAGCTACAGAACTAAGATGACTCAGAGCAGGAAAAGGAAATGATTGTGGTTCACTCTAATCTTGCTACCTTCCCCCACACCATGATCTTTCTTTTTTAGGTCTGCCTAAAGTAAATTTAGCTTGGGGAGTGGTTTGGTAATTTGGTGAACAGCTCAAGTGATCTTATCTGTCCCTCATCTATTGTATAAACGAGTCCTGGGTGGCAGCTCCAAACAGCCTAGGAACTGTTTCCTAGGAACTGCCTGGTGTTCAAGGGCCATTGCCCTTTTCTTCATCTTCTTCTTGCCACTCTTGTCCACTCAGACTCCTGTGCCTCATTACAGTCAATACACCCATTTCTTCTCCTGGATGCATATAAACACCGATCTGCTTCTGGTCACTACAGATTAGTTTTGACCATCTTAGAATTTCATGTAATGGAATAATATAGGACTTAGTCTTTTGTGTCTGTCTTCTTTCACTCCGCATAATGTGTTTTGAGATCTATCCATGGTCTTATGTGTATCAGTCTGTTGTTCTTTATTACTGAGAAGTAGTATCCAGTTGTATGGATATACCACCATTTGTCTTACCTGTTACCCTGTTGGTGGATTTAAGTTGTTGACAATTTAGGGCTATGACAAATAAAACTGTCATGAACATTTGGGTTCAGATCTTTTTGTTGCATATATTTTTATTTTTCTTGGCAGTATATGAACTGCCAATTCATATACTAAATGTGTTTAATTTTTAAGAAACTAACACATTATTTTCTATTAGGAATTTATCATTCATATTAATAATGCATGGTTTTTAATTGCTCTACATCTTTGTCTACACTTAGTATTGTTAGTATTTTTAATATTAAACACTTGTGTGAATATGTGATGATTTAAGTTTGTATTTTTCTGATGACTAATTTTATTGAGCCTCTTTTCATGTGACATTTGCCTATTTTCGTATTTTCATTTTGGTGTCTGTTCAAATCTTTTTTCTCACTTTTTTTTTTATCCTTACCCAAGGACATTTTTTTCCTTATATTTTTTTTGTTCAGATAGAGTGGGAGGGAGAGAGAGAGAGAAACATTGACGTGAAAGGGACACATCAAGTGGTTGCCACCCGCACGACCCAACCGGGGCTGGGGACAAACTGCAACTGAGGTACATGCCCTTAGCAGGAACCGAACCTGGGTCTCTCTGGAGAGCAGGCTGACGCTCTAACCGCTGAGCCAAACCGGCCAGGACTTTTTTCTCACTTTTAAAGTGGGTTGTTTGTATTCTTATTGAGTTTTTTTTTTTTTATCCTCACCCGAGGACATTTTTCCATTTTTTGTTCAGATAGAGCGGGAGGGAGAGAGAGGAAGAGAGAGAGAGAAAGAGAAACATCGATGTGAAGGGACACATCGAGTGGCTGCCACCCACAGACCAACCAGGGCCGGGGACAAACTGCAACCGAGGTACGTGCCCTTAGCGGGAACCGAACCCTGGTCTCTCTGTACCGCAGGCCGACACTCCAACCGCTGAGCCAAACCGGCCAGGGCTTCTTATTGAGTTTTACACAAGTCTTTTGGGAGATATGTGTTGTGCAAATATTTAATCTGGAGTGTAACTCACTTTTTCATTTTATTAATGGCATCTTTGAAAGATCAGAAGATATTAATTCTGATGAAGACTAATAATCAAACTTTTTATGGTTAGTGTTTTATGTGCCTAAGAAATTCTTGCCTGTCTCAAAATTGTAAAAAATTTCTTCTAAAATATTTACAATTTTAGCTTTTACATTTAAGTCTATGATCAAATTAGTTTTTGTGTACAGTGTGAGGCAAATACTGAGGTTCATTTTTTTCCATATGGATAATTCATTACTCCAATACCATTTAAAGACTTTTCTTTCTTCATTGACTTACTTGGCATCTTTGGTCATATACATGGGGGTCTATTTCTAGATGATTTTATTGATTTATATGTCTTCCTTGTCTCATGTAATACTGTACTGATTATTGTAGCTTTATGATAAGTCATAAAATAAAATAGGCTCCCAAATTTTCTCTCCTTTATAATAATAAAACTTTTACTGTTCCAGAATTTTACATTTCCACATATATTTTAGAGTAAGCTTGTTAATTCCTACAAATATGCCTGTTGGTGTTTTGGTTGGGATTGCTTTGAACCTGTATAGATCATTTTGGGGAAAACCGACATCTTAATGATGTTGAGTTTTCCAATTCATGAATGTGGAATATCTCTCCATTTATTTAAGTCTTTAATTTTTTTTCAGAAATGTTTTTATGTGTTCATGTCTTGCACATGTTTTGTTAAATTTATACTAAAATATTTTGTTATTTCATGTGATAGTAAATGGCACTTATTTTTAACTTTCAATTTCCAAAGTCTATGGCTAGTATGTCAAAATAAAATTGATTTTGATAGTGACTTTGCATCCTGTAGCCTGCCAAATATACTTAATGGTTCTAGTGGCACTTTTTGGGGGGTGTATTTTCTCTCTATATATATTTTTAGGTTTATTTTTATTTCATTTTATTTTTTAATCCTCATCTGAGGATATTTTTTTTATTTATCTTCAGATAGAGTAGGAGGGAAGGAGGAAGAGAGAGAGAGAGAAACGTCGATGTGAGAGAGACACATCGACTGGTTACCTCCCTCACAACCCCGTCCAGGGCCAGGCATGAACTGCAATCGAGGTACATGCCTTTGACCAGAATCAAACCCGAGACTCCTTGGTTCGTGGGTTGACGCTCTACTCACTGAGCCAAACTGGCCAGGGCGATTCTCTCTCTCTCTCTCTCTCTCTCTCTATATATATATATATATATATATACACACACACACACACACACACACACACACACACACATATTTTTTTGTTACAGATGTTTCTCTTTTTCTACCCCATTGACACCTCCTCCCCACCCCCCCTACCCTGTCCCCGGCTTTGTTGTCCATGTCCATTGGTTATGTGTACATGCATATAAGTTCTGTGGTTTATCTCTTCCCTCTCCCTACCCCCTCTTCTGAGGGTTGTCACTATGTATCCTACTTCCATGTCTCTGGGTCTAACCTATTCCTCAGACTGTTATGTTCATTATATTCCACAAATAAGTGAGGTCATGTGGTATTTGTCTTTCTCTGCTTGGCTTGTTTTATTTAGGATAATCCTTTCCAGGTCCCTTCATGTCATCTCAAAGGATAAGAGATCTTTCTTTCTTATAGCTGCATAATACTCCATTGTGTATATGTACCACAGCTTCTTTATCTATTCATCTACTGATGGACACTTGGGCTGTTTCCAGATCTTAGCTATTGTAAATAGTGTTGCTATGAACATGGGGGTACATATATTCTTTCTGATTGGTGTTTCAGGCTTCTTAGGGTATATTCCTAGAAGTGGGATCACTGTGTCAAATGGCAGTTCAATTTTTAATTTTTTGAGGTAACACCATATTGTTTTCCATAGTGGCTGCACCAGTCTGCATTCCCCCCAGCAGTGTACTAGAGTCCCCTTTTCTCCATACCCTCATCAACACTTGTTTGATGATTTGTTGATGGCGGCCATTCTGACAGGTGTGAGGTGATACCTCATTGTTGTTTTAATTTGCATCTATCTGATGATTAGTGATGTTGAGCATTTCTTCATATATCTCTTGGCCATTTGTATGTCCTGTTTGGAGAGGTGTCTATTCAGGTCCTTTGCCCATTTTTAATTGGGTTCTTTGTCTTCCTTTTGTTGAGTTGTATGAGTACTCTATATATTTTGGAAATTAACCCCTTATCTGATGTATAATTGGCAATGATATTCTCTCACATAATGGGTTGCCTTTCCATTTTGATGGTTGTTTCTTTTGCTGTGCAGAAGCTTTTTAGTTTGATGTAGTCTCATGTGTTCATTTTTTCCTTTGTTTCTGTTGCCCTAGGTGAAAATTCTGCTGCGTATGGTGTCTGAAATTTTGTTGCCTACATTTTCTTCTAGAATTTTTATGGATTCATGAGTCACATTTAAGTCTTTTATCCATTTTGAGTTTATTTTTGTGTATGGTGTAAGTTGATGGTCTAGTTTCATTTTTTATGCATGTAGCTGTCCAATTTTCCCAACACCATTTATTAAAGAGGCTATCTTTACTTCATTGTATGCTCTTGCCTGCTTTGTCAAATATTAATTGAGCATAGTGTCTTGGGTCCATTTCTGGGTTCTCTGTTCTGTTCCACTGGTCTATATGCCTGTTCTTGTGCCAGTACCAGGCTGTTTTGATTACAGTGGCTTTGTAGTATAACCTGATATCTGGTATGGTGATCCCACCTACTTTGTCCTTCTTTTTCAAGATTGCTGTGGCTATTTGAGGTCTTTTTTGGTTCCATATGAACTTTTGAAGTATTTGTTCTAGTTCTGTGAAATATATCATTGGTGTTTTGATGGGGATTGCATTGAATCTATAGATTGCTTTGGGTAATACAGACATTTTAATGATGTTAATTCTTCCAATCCATGAACAAGGTATGTGCTTCCACTTTTTTATATCTTCCTCTATTTCTTTGTTCAATGTCCTGTAGTTTTCTGCAAATAGGTCCTTTATTTCTTTGGTTAAGTTTATTCCTAGGTATCTTAATTTTTTTGACATGATGGTAAATGGGATTGTTTTTAGTTTCTCTTTCTGTGAGTTCATCATTGGTGTATAAGAATGCCATCGATTTCTTGACGTTAATTTTGTATCCTGCTACTTTGCCAAATTCATTTATTAAGTCTAGTAGATTTTTGATGGAGTCTTTGGGGTCTTCTACATATAGAATCATGTCATCTGTGAATTATGACAGTTTCACTTCCTCCTTTCCAATTTGGATCCCTTTTATTTTTTCTTCCTGTCTGATTGCTGTGGATAAGACATCCAGGACTATGTTAAATAAGAGTGGCGAAAGTGGGCATCCCTGTCTTGTTCCTGTTCTTAAGGGAAATGCTTTTATTTTCTGCCCATTGTGTATGATGTTGGCTGTAGGTCTTTCATATATGACTGATTTTCTATATTTTTGATCATACTGTTTGTGAATAAAATTTTCTGGTGTTTGTTACTGACCTTTATGCTTTTACTTTTGTAATAAAAACAAGATCTATTCCTTCTCTTGGCTCATTTTGGGGCTCTGAATCGCTTTTGGGTCCCATAAGATGCATTACTTTCAAGACATTTTAAAACTTAAAATAAACATCTGAGAGTTAATGTGTCAGTTTCTAGTTATGCTGCTAAGCACATCACATTGTGACCTTTTGTTTTCCTCTCTGTCACTTCCACCTGACCACTATGTTCATACATTAATTATCTTGTGTCCTCAGCCCTAACAGTGTCTCACACTCAAAAGTTTAATTAATATTTAATTAATATTTGTTGAATGAAGTAATAATACAACTAAGACCTACTTAAAGTGACTTCAGCTATAATCTAAAGAATTTAATAAATTTATCTTCTTTGGCCATTTTTTTTCAAATTATATTGTCTATTGGCATGATCCTGTGATTAGCCTTGCTGTCATCCAGTGGGTAATATATATGAATCTCATTTTCTAATTTCTTTTATAAATTTTTTCAACTATAATATAGTTCTGACCCATGTAGCAATCATTGGACTCATTAAGACTTTGCAGAATTTTCCCACTTAAAAGTAATGTTTTGCCCCATTTTCTTCATTCTTTATCTGAGTACTTTGGTTGGGAAATATCAGTCTTTTACATGTTCTTGGAACCAATCACTTCTTGGACACAGACAGTTCTAAAGTGTTGGTGTTGTTGAACTAGCAACACAGGATCCCTGCCTCCACTGCTGCCAGAGGGTTTAGAGCAGGCCCGGGAACAGAGGGTTCTTCCAGCACTTAGTTTGATTTCATCTGGTTCAAAGCCAGCTTTCTAAAATTAACTGTGACTAAGGCTGAGAAGGCTTTTTAAAAAGACCTTTGTGGGCTTATCCTACAAGGCCACCAGATGGATCTATTCTTCCATGAAAGAGGGGAATTTCTGCTATGAGATGGCCATTCCACCTGGAACCAGCATATCTGGTTCTCCTGAGCTTGTGAAATTCTAGTAACATCACTATCTCAACTCCCTAAACGTTCATTTCTTGCTGTAGGAAGTCAATTATTTTATTTAGGATTCTCTTGTCCAAATGTTTCTAAAAACCCCCAGGGGTCTTTATATATGCCCAAGTATCAGTCCTGATTGGCACTTATTGGTGCTGGTGCTGAGCTATTGCTTCATATTCTCAGACCAAACAGATATACAGAGGTGCTCTCTGCCCTCATGGTAACAATGGAAGTGAAGTAAGGACAATACCTCCTTTTGGTGTTACCTTCTCTTAATGATAGAGGTGTCCCAAATCAACGTTATCTGAGCCTCAAAGTGTTGCAACAGTTAGTGATAACAGTGACTTTTATTAGTCTGTATTACTTTTATTTCTCTTTGGAATTATCAGATTTGGGAACGGAGGTGAAGAGCACTGATTTTTGACACGAAAACACACAAAATATTCAATATGTATATAGAAATTTCCCAATGCTATATTTTTCACAACCATCATTTTAAATGACTTCCTAGTATGCTAGTGAAAGATAATACTGTAATTTACTTAACTATTATTCAGTTATTAGCCGTATAACTTGTTTCTTGTTTGTTGCTATTACTAGATAGCATTTCAATGAATATCATTAGACATTAAGCTTTTCCATATTGAAAACAGTTTTCTTAAGGTAGACACCTGAGCCTAGATTATATGAATAAAAGTGTATGTGAATATTTGTGTGCTTCTGGAGATAAAGTACCTAATTGCTAGAAAGCAAATGCATTCACAAAGAAAAGTTATTTCCCAGTTTCTAGAATATAGGCATCACTGTCCTCTAGTATTTAAGAGCATGAAAAATAGGACTAAATGTCAGCTGTTTAATTAGTGAGCAACATAACAGACTAGGGAAAATACTATTGGCTTATGGAAAGTTTAAACCATGCTATGGTACACAGGCCACACTAATCTCTTACACCCCGACCCAGCTCTGGTATACTTTGAGGCCTCAGGTTATTGCTAAAAATAAACAGAACACACCTCAAGATTTCCATTTTACTGAGAAAGGAGGGTTTGTTGACTTCCTTGTGCTAGACAAGTCTCTGTAATGTTGTTACTTCCAGCATCCACCAGCTGAGGAACAAAGTGTCAGAGGAGCATGACATTCTCAAGAAGAAGGAGTTGGAATCAGGGCCCAAAGCATCCCATGGCTATGGAGGTCGGTTTGGTGTTGAAAGAGACCGAATGGACAAGGTGAGTTGAAAGAAGATATTTGCTTAATTTCTAAAAAGATAGATTTGCCCGGCTAGTGTGGCTCAGTTGTTGAACATCAACCCATGCACCAAGAGGTTGCCAGTTCAATTCCCTCTCAGGGCACATGCCCAGGTTATGGACCCGATCCCCAGTGCGGGGCATGCAGGAGGCAGCCAGTTGATGTTCTCTCTCATCGATGTTTCTCTCTCTCTCCCCCTCTCCCTTCTTCTTTCTCTAAAATCAAGAAAGAAAAAAAGAGATAGATTCATCCATTTGTTGGTTTTATGGTTTAAAACTTGTTCAAAATTACAATAGTCTTTTGGGCTTTAAAATAGAATATCCACATATTATTTGTATTATTCTTTCCCCTATATCAACACATAAAATATAGATAACAGAAAACGGAAGCCAAGAATTGAAAAGGGCTGGCTATAGTAGGCAGGCCCAACCACACTGTGACTGTGGAGACAGGGAGCATATGTAGAGAAGAAAAAATATGTTTTAAAATCATTTACTACTTTCAAATATTTAGGTATTATGTCTATATTGCAACTTCTCTCTTTTTTTTTTTGCTATATATTTAGTGTTTTTATGTATATATTATACATTGCATGATGTGCACAGAGGTATGAAAAATATTGATGTGAATTTATCCATGAGAAGCCCTCAAATATGAATAGTTTTTATTTTATCCATTAGATGCTATAAAAGTATGATAAGTCCGGCCAGTGTGGCTTATTGGTTGAGCATCGACCCATGCACCAAGAGGTCGCCAGTTCAATTCCTGGTCAGGGCACATGCCCAGGTTGTGGGCCTGATCCCCAGTTGGGGGGGCATGCAGGAGGCAGCCAACTGATGTTCTCTCTTACTGATGTTTCTCTCTCTCTCTCTCTCTCTCTCTCTCTCTCCCTTCCTCTCTCTCTAAAAACCAATAAAAAATTTTTTTAAGTATGATAAAAGGATGCTTGTATATTAAATCATATTTTCCATTGACTTTCCTAATCTCAAAGATAGAGATATATTCCTATAAGAAAAAAAGGTTTACTTTCAAGGAGATAAGAAAAACCCAATGAAAGCCCTTAAGAGGTGTTTTGTTTTGTCATTGTGTAAAGTGCCATGGAGGCATTGTATTCTCCCACAAAATTCCTAGGAAAAAAGAAGCCATTCATTCTTAAATTCAACAAGCAAAACTGACCTACACAGTCCCCAAAATATTGCAAAACCAGTTCCCAGGAGTTTATACAGGGCAGCGCTTCATGTTCATCTCTGTACTGATGTTATCCCAGCATGGGATTGGCAATATAGGAAGGAGAAGAAATATTCAGTTTCTTTAGTTGAGACTCTGCAAGGCATCGTTATTTGGTTTGAGGTATTACTTAATTCCCAAATTATTAAAGTGTCCATATCTAAATATTAGAAGAGAAATAACTTTTAAAACCAAATTGAAAAATAAAACAATAGGTGGAGTAAAAAGTGGAGGGAAGTAGAAAAGATTTAAGTTACATGCCATCTTGGACCACTCCCAGTATTGTCTACCAACTTCCTTTGGTATAAAGAATCAGTCACTGCTAAATGTTAGGGTTCAGGTGACACTTCTGAACTTTGATGGTCATGCAGCAGAAAAGATTCAGAATAAAAAATGCCTGGCTATTTACGTGAATATTCAGTGCTGACTAAGGCATCCAGTTAGTCCCCTTCGGTCTCTCCCCAATAACTACCCTCATTTCTGTTTTGATACACAAAGCCCCGTTTTAGCTTTCTTTTTGTTTCTGGTTTAACCACAGCTCGGTCTTCCTAGTCTCTATCCTCCTGATTCCCAGCCTGTCCTCTGGAGTTTCCTGAATGGTGGGTTCTTAATGGTACTAAAGAGTCAGGATGTGCAAAGCTCCCGGAGTCACCTTGCTCTCCCACCATGTGTTCCTTGGCACCGCTGTCAGAAGCTGAGTCTGACCCAGAATGGAATTTCTGGTATTCCCATGTCCCATCCCATCTCTATATCATTTTATTTCTTTAGAGTCACTTTTATCTGGTCACTCATTCCATCCTTGGTTTTTCTCAGAGTGCTGTGGGCCATGAGTATGTTGCTGAGGTGGAGAAGCACTCTTCTCAGACTGATGCTGCCAGAGGTTTTGGGGGCAAATACGGAGTTGAGAAGGACCGGGCAGACAAGGTAAGTGACAGCCCTCTCCCCACACCACCAACTCAGATCACATGGGACTCAAACCAACACTCCCCCTTGAATGTGGGTCTATGATTCTCCTGTGAAAAACAGGGCAGGGGACTCAAGGAGGGTCCATCATGCGGGTAGCTCCTGTGACCTCCCTCAGCAAGTTCCTTGATGCTACTGTTGGAGGCCACATGCTGAGCTGATAGGTATTAATTGAAATGAGACAAAGACTCTCAAACTGTTTGAATAAGGAAACTGAATCCTTCAAACCATTGGTTTTTGTTATACCTATACAGATGAAGAGAGAAAAGGAAAATTCCAAAGCTCCTCTTTTGGTTAGACATCAAAACCTTATAAATATGTATACCTTTCAGGAAAACAGAGATGTTAGCTTAAATGTTATTACCATGGCAGCAATAATCAAATAAAAAAATAATCAAGTGAAACAACTGATTAAGTTTATAATGTTTTTAGAAGGTAACAATTACTTTTCATGAGATTTAGCACCAAATTCAGGTGTTAAAAGATTTCTTTGCTGTACAAAACAACTACTATAAAAAGTAGTTTTAAAGAGAGAAAAAAAGGACAGTATGATTACAGATGACAGAGTGGTCATGAGAGTGCAACTGATAACTCATAATTCTTTGATCTCTCTTTTTATGGTGAGAATAGTGTGTCCTCCCTGCAGCTACACACAGGACATCTTCATAGCCAGCTGAGATTCTATTTTTAACCTCAGTTGTTTATTAGGTGGGCCTGAATCCTTAAAGCTAAGTGTTAGATGTAATTTCATTGTAGGTGGGAAAAAAACACCAGGGAAGTTTAAAAGATACTATAATGGAAAGGAAATACACAGAAGGTAATTTTTAAGGCAGTAATGGGATATGGAGCATGTTATGGTCTTCTCTAATCAGGTTGGAATTTTTTTTTTTTTTTATCCTCACCTGAGGACATTTTTTTGTTTTTTGTTGAGATAGAGTGGGAGGGAGAGAGAGGAAGAGAAAGAGAAAGAGAGAGAGAGAGAGAGAGAGAGAGAGAGAGAGAGAGAGAGAGAAACATTGATCAACCAGGGCCGGGGACAAACTGCAACCGAGGTACGTGCCCTTAGTGGGAACCGAACCCCGGTCTCTCCAGACCGCAAGCTGACGCTCTAACCGCTGAGCAAAATGGGCCAGGGCTCAGGTTGGAATTTTTCTTCCATCTTGGCCTCTTCCTAATGTTTCATTGTTCTTTTTCTCATCTTCTGCCTCACAGCCACAAACTGAATTATCTAAACAATCAGTGTGTCATGTCAACCAAGTAATAATACATACTAATAGCTCTAAAGATGCAAAATCTAGACTTATTTAGAGATCCATAGTTACGGAGCCAGTTGGGGATGTAGCTACATTGTGATGTTAGGTATTGGTCCATGCTTATATCCAGTGCCAGGAGCAGCTAGGATCCAGACTCTCCTGTTTGCCTCTCATCCCACCAAAGTCCACATCTCTGAGTAAGTATAATTTATTAGCAATAGGATACTATCTCTTACATGTGTACAGCGCTTTATGGTTCACAAGGCACTATTATCTCATTTTAGTTCCACAAGAGTTAGGAAGGAAAACACTAATTGATTGAGTAACCCAAGGAAAACACTTTACATGCCTTGCCCCACTTAGTTCTCATAATATCCCAGATGAAGAGAGGTCACTTCTTCCATTTTACAGTTGAAGTTCATGACACAGGTATACCTATTTTTATTTTATATTTGAAGAAATTGAGGCTCAAATATTAAAGGACATGCCCACCTATAAGTAGGGGAGGTGGGATGCGACCCTAGAACTGTCTGTGACCAGAGCCCACGGCTGCTGACTTGGAGCACACTGCCTCTACACCAGCCTGGCGGGGTCCTACCGTCTGTTTCTGCATTAAACCTCATTCACAGGCCTGAGCCCCTATAAATGAACCTCTGAGCTGAGCTGGGAGTAAGGGTAAGTGAGAGAGGGGAAGAACTGTTAGCTCTAACTTTAACCAATTCTCTCTCCTTTTCTTTGTAGTCAGCAGTTGGCTTCGATTACAAAGGAGAAGTGGAGAAACACACATCTCAGAAAGGCAAGAATCCTGCACTTCAGCTCTAGCAACCTGACTGCCCTGCTATTGTGCTCAGACTTCAACTCCCTTTTAGTTTCATGACCCAATTCCTCACTATTTCATTTATTTTTAAATCCTAACGTGTACTTGCTTCTTTCTTTCTCCTTTACCACTTTCTATGAGATTGGTCAAGTTTCTTTTATCATCTTTTTTTCCATAATGGATTGAAAATAAGGTATTCTACTCCTTTATTTTAGGAGGTTATCCTTAAGTTTTGACATGCATCTCTGACTTACATTTAAAATTAATCATTATCTCTTCCTGAGCAATATAAGAAATATATAGAATAATTTAATTACATTCTTTTTACAGTCTATATTTTTTGTATCACCTGGACAATTATTATTGTCTGATATACTGGTTTTGTGTGTTTATAAACTCCCCAAATTTAATTATGATTATTACCTAGTAAATGCTTATTTAAATTGACCAACATATTTACCAACTCCTAGCTCAGCATTGCTTCCTGTATTTCATTGTTTCCTCCTGGCTTCTTCCATTTTCTTCTTGCTAAGGTGTATCCTTTGATAATTCTTTCAGTGAGTCTATGAAAGAACTCCCAGGCTTTGTCTAACAAATGTCTTTATTTTCTTCTACTCTTCATTGTTCTTTTCCATTCATCACTTTGAAGATATTATTTCATTATCTCTGGCATCTCTCTTGTGTCCTCGTTATTTCTTTGTAGGTAATATATCTTGTCTCTGTTTTTTTGTTTGTTTTGTTTTTATTTTTTATGAAAGGTTTTCTTTCTGTCTCTGATATCCTGAAATAATATCAGAATATGTCTAAATGTTGGATCTACTTTTATTATTCTACATGAGACTTATCAGTCCTTTTCAACCTGTGAAGTGATTTATTATGGGAAGTTCTCAGGCTTTTTTTTTTTTTTTTTTTTTGATAATGCCTTTCCTCTCTTCTCTTTTATTTTTCTGGAACTCATATTAGATGTGTATTCTCTTCTTGATGTCTCAATTTTTAAAAGAATTTTTAAGTTTACAACAAAATTGAGAGGAAGGTACAGAAATTTATCATATGCTCCCACCCATACAGAAGCACAGCCTTCCCCATTATTAGTGTCACTCGCCAGAATGGTACATTTTTTACCAAGGATGAATCATAATTACCCAAGGTCCATAGGTTCACTCTTTCATCTATTTATTTTTTATTTTTACAATGTTTTTCAATTACAGTTTACATTCAATATTATTTGTATTAGTCTCAGGTGTACAGCACAGTGGTTAGACCATCATATACTTTACAAGTGGTCCACCCAATATTCCAAGTATCTACCTGGCACCATATATAGTTATTACAGTGTTATTAACTATATTTCCTATGCTGTACTTTACATCCCCATTACTATTTTCTAACTACCCATCTGTACTTCTCAATTCCTTCACCTTTTTCACCCAGTCCCCCAACCCTCCTGCTCTCTGGCAATGCTGTCACAAATGGTAAGATTTCATGCATTTTTATGGCCAAGTAATATTCCATTGTGTATATATATACCATCACTTTTTTTTTATCCACTCATCTGTTGATGGGCACTTGGATTGCTTCCATATCTTGGCTATTGTAAATAACACAGCAATTAACATAGGGGTGCATATATTCTTTTGAATTAGTGTTTTGGGTTTCTTCACATGTATACCCAGAAGTGGAATCACTGGGTCATAAGGCAGTTCCATCTTTAATTTTTTGAGGAACCTCCATTCTGTTTTCCGCAGTGGTTGTACCAATCTGCATTCCCACCAGCAGTACACAAGGGTTCCCTTTTCTCCACATCCTCACTAGTACTTATTGTTTGTAGATTTATTGATGATAGCCACTATGACAGGTGTGAGGTAATATCTCATTGTGATTTTAATTTGCATTTGTTTAATGATTAGTGACATTGAGCATCTTTTTATGTCTACTGGCCATCTGTATGTTCTGTTCAGGTCTTCTGCCCATTTTTTAATTGGATTTTTTTTTGTGTGGTTTTTTTTGGTGTTGAGTTGTATGAGTTCTTTGTAAATTTTGAATAGTAACCTCTTATTGGAAGTATCATTGGCAAAAATTTTCTCTCATTCAGTAGGCTATCTTTTTGTTTTGTTGATGGTATGTTTAGTTTTGTATGAAACTGCCAAACTGTCTCCCATTTTTCATTCCCCCCAGCAATGTATAAGAGTTCCTGTTGCTCCACATTCTCACCATCATTTGGTATTATAAGTATTCTGGATTTGGGCCATTGAAATAGGCGAATACTTAGTATCTCATTTTAATTTGCATTTCCCTGATGACATATGATGTAGAGCATCTTTTAAAATGCATATTTGTCATCTGTATATCTTCTTTAGTAAGATGTTTGTTAAGATCTTTGGCCCATTTTTTAATTGTTGAGTTTTAAGAGTTCTTCATGTATTTTGGATAACAGTTCTTTATCAGTGCATCTTTTGCAGATTTTCTCCCAGTCTATGACTTGTCTTTTCATTTCTTTGACATTGTCTTTCACAGAGCAGAAGTTTTAAAATTTTACTGATGTCCAGGCTTATAAATTATTTCTTTCATGGATTGTGTCTTTGGTGTTGTATCTAAAAAAGTCACCATACCTAAGGTCATCTAGGTTTTCTCCTACATTATCTTCTAGGAGTTTTATAGTTTTGCATTTTGTATTTAGGTCTATGATCTATTTTGAGTTAATTTTTGCAACAGGTATAATGCTGTATCTAGATTTATTTATTCTTTGCATGTGGATGTCTAGTTGTTCCAGCACTCTGTTGAAAAGACCATCTTCTCACCATTATATAGCCTATGCTCCTTTGTAAAAGATCAATTGACTATATTTATGAGGGTCTAGTTATAGGTTCTTTCATTGATCTATTTGTCTATTTTTCACCACACTGTCTTAATGACCTTAACTTTATAGTAAGTCTTAAAGTAAGGTAGTAGCAGTCTTTCAGCTTTATGTTGGCTAATTTTTCAGTCTTGTGTTGGCTATTGAGTCTTTGGCCTCTCCATATGAACTTTAGAATCAGGTTTCAGTATCCAAAAAATAACTTTTTATTGGGATTGAATTACATCTATGGATCAATCTGGGAAGTAACTGACATTATGACAATATTGAGTCTTCCTATCTATGAACATAGACTATAACTACATTTAGTTTTTCTTTGGTTTAATTTATCAGGATTTTCCTTATATAGATCTTTTATATATTTTTTATTTATAGCTAAGTATTTCTTTGTTGGGGTTGCTAATGTAAATGGTACTGTATTTTAATTGCCAATTCCACTAGTTCATTGTTGGTATATAGGAAAGCAGTTGACTTTTGTATATAACCTTATATTCTGCAACTTTACTATAATCACTTATTAGTTTCAGAAGTATGTGTATCGATTCTTTTGGATTTTCTATACAGACCATCATGCCATCTATAAACAGAAACAATTTTATATCTTTTTTTTTCAGTCTGTATACCTTTTATTTCCTTTTCTTGCCTTATTGCATTAGCAAGGACTTCCTGTACAATGCTGAAAGGAGTGATGAAAAGAGATATACTTACCTTATACCTGATCTTAGCGGGAAAGCTTCAAGTTTCCCACCATTAGGTATGACATTAGCTGTAGGGTTTTTGTAAATTGTCTTTATCAAGTTGGGAATGTTCCCTTCTACTCCTAATTTACTAAAAGTTTTTTTTTTTTTAAATCATGAATAGATGTTGGATTTTGTCAAATGCTTTTCTCTGCATTTACTGATAAGATCCTGTGATTTTAATCTTTTAGTTTATTGGTGTGATGGATTGCATTAATTGATTTTCAAATTTTGAACCAGCCTTTCATACTTTGGATAAATTCTACTTGGTCATGGCGTATAATTATTTTTATATATTGTTAAATTCAATTTGCTAACATTTTGTTGAGGATTTTTGAATCTTTTTTTTTTTTTTTTTTTAATGGTACGTGTCCCTAGTGGGAACCAGACCTGGGACTCTCTGGTTTGGCTCTAACCACTGAACCAATCTGGCCAGGGTGAATTATGTTTTTGAGAGATATTGGTCTATAGTTTTATTTCTTGTAATGTCTTTTTCTGGATTTGGTATTAGAGTAATGCTGGCCTCATAGAATTAGTTAGAAATTATTCCCTCTGATTTTATCCTCTGAAAGAGATTTTAGAGAATTGGTATATTTATTTTTTTCTTAAATGTTTGTTGGAATTTTCCAATTAACCCATTTGGGCCTGGTGTCTTCTTTGACCCATGAGTTATTTAGAAGTGTGTTATTCGTGTAGCAAATATTGGGGGGAGTTTTCTAGATAATTTTATTATTATTAACTTCTAATTTAATTACATTGTGATCAGAGAATATGGTATATAATATTTCAATATTTTGAAATGTATTAAAAACTTATGGACCAGCATATGGTCTATCTTGGTGAATGTTCTAATGTACATTTAAAATGTGTATTTTGCAGTTCTGGGTTATCATATTCTATAAATGTCAATTGGGTCTTGTTAGTTGATAAAGTAATTTGGACCTTCTATAATTTTAGATTATTTTGTCTAAATTTTCTGTCAATTAATGAGAGAAAGGTGTTAAAATTTTCAACTGAATTTTGAATTTTATCTTTTTCTTGAATTTGTTTCTTTTCCTTCCTGCTTCTGTCAATATTTGCTTCATAAATTTTGATTCTGTTAATAGGTTTGTGTTAGCATTTATATTCCTGATGAATGATGAATTGTTCTCTTACCATTGTATTATGTCTCTCTTATCTTTTATAATGCATTTTGTCTTGAGATCTATTTTGTCTCCTATTCTTTCTGATGCTTACTCTTTCTATGATATATATTTTCTTAGATAAGTATTTAAATTCTTAGCTTAGAATTAATATATAAGTAGCGTGAACTTGGATATTTGTATTCCATACACTCAGGTGTGGGCCTGGAGTTTCCAAGTCTCATAGGCACATTTTTCCCCTATAGTTTGTTGCTGAACAAACTACAAGCCCCCTCACCATTTCCATGGACACATGAGTAGAATTTTTCTAGAACTCTTTTATAGCAATGGGCAAAGACTCATTTTCTGTTCCCCAGCCCTCTATTCTTTTAAATAAGTTAGAGCCCCACATCCTAGATTCTAGCCCTAGGCACTAAATTTGGGACTTAAAACACCCTTAGGTTTTCTGTGGCATCCGCTCATATTTACCCTCATATCTACTGCTTTGATTTACCTATTTGTTTTTGGAGTCAGGTTTTTTTCCTTCTTTTTTTGTGAGCTTCACTATTAACAATAACAAAAGCTGTTATGTTTTAGCTGACATTTCTAAGTGTTTATATGGGAGTAGGAAAGGCATACATTTCAGGTGGATATGCCTTTTTTTTCCTTTTCTTTTTCTGGAAACTTCTCCTTATACTCTCCATACTTTCCCCTTCCTTGAAGAAGGGAGAAAATTGAAATGATCTTCTCATCTTGGCATGGAAGTCAAAGAGAGAAGAGAAAAACAATGAACAGTGTTAAAGCAAAAGATGGCTTAGAACACCGTTTCTCTTTAATTCACCTATATTTGAGCCCTGCTCTCTTCCTAGGCCCTCGTCATCCATTCCTCTTGACATCTCTCTTCATCGGCTCTTTCTGGTGAGCTGAGAGTGGGCTCTCATGACTGTTCCTTCCATTGTAGATTACTCTCATGGATTTGGTGGCCGTTATGGGGTAGAGAAGGATAAACGGGACAAAGCAGCTCTGGGATATGACTACAAAGGAGAAACAGAGAAACACGAATCCCAGAGAGGTAAGTTGTGGCTGGAGAAGAGGGAGGTCACAGGGTATCATAGAGCCTTTGTGCTTCCCTTCTGGAAGGTGACACAGAGGACCCAGGATACAGAGGGCAGATGTGCAGTGGAGGTGGTGGGGTGAAGAGTTATAAGTGATGTGTGTGGGGGTCAGTGGGGGCCAAACGGGGTAGAAAAGAAAACAATAAGATTAAGAGCAAGACTGAAAAGGGAGGCTTAAGAGAAGAGGCCACTGAGAAAGGATGAAGACAGACAGGTTGGTGATGATAAGAGTGTGAGTTGGCTATTATTCTTAAAGGGCCCTCTGCCTCACCAAAGATAGAGAAGTCTCCTTCCTCTCTGGGATGGTAGGAAATGGCTGGAGGGCTGGACTTCTTTTTTTTTTTTTTTTTCTGTTTCTTCCTTTACAATTTCTCCTTTTCTGTCTCTTTTTCTTTTATGTTTTCCAAATTCCCAGCTCTCTCCCCTCCATTCTCTCCCATGTTTTTTTCTTCTATTTATGCCTTTCTCAATCCCCTGATTCTCACACTTCCTCAACCATCTCTCTGTTTTCCACATTCTCATCTTATGGTCTTTCTTCCCACTGCTCCCTCTTCCCACCTATTTCCAGCATTTTAACTCCTGTATGACTTTCAGAGCTTTCTGTCCTGCAGATTATGCCAAGGGCTTTGGTGGTCAGTATGGAATCCAGAAGGACCGAGTGGATAAGGTACAGTACCAGAATGACAATATTTATGACTAGCTTCCCAAACTGCCTGGAAGTGCGTGGAGAAGAATGAGAGGCAAAGCTAGAAAAAAGGTGGAATAAGCCAGGTGTACTGAGCTGTCCTCCTGGTGTCCTGCACTCCCCATGGACTGCCCTCAGCATCTAATGAGCGTGTCTTCTGAGGCCTGAGCTTTAACTGAGGAGAGGAAAGGGAAGCACAGAGAGACAGAAACAGATAAACTCCAGGGAAAGGTGATGTTTAAAATTTCGCTGATTGTGTAGCATTGTTTATCCCAATCTGTAGTCTCTTCCCACTCCATGTTCTCCCCTGCACCAGTTCTTCTTCATGCACTACCCAGGGGACTTGCTGCAGTCCATGAAATTGGACTTGGGGTGTGAGATTCTAGGTACACTGCGCTTTCAAAAAGGGGAGCTGTTTAGAACTTCTTTTTCCTTCTCTCTACCACAAAACAACAGTATTGGAATGCCCTGTCCAACTATTGAGGATCAAATGGTTAGGACACCTCCTATGGTGATTTCAATCCCTAATACTGTATTGAGTCACTACCACTTCCTTACCGCCGCCGCCCCCCGCCCCCCTCCCCACCCTGCCCACACACACACCTACTGTTCTCCTGCAGAGTGCTGTTGGCTTCAATGAAATGGAGGCTCCAACCACAGCTTATAAGAAGACGACACCCATAGAAGCTGGTGAGTCTCAACAATTCCCTTTCTCTGCACTCCTCAACTGCTTCTCCTTTCTCATTCTTTCTTCTCCCCAGACTACCTCATCCATGCCTTCAGCTACCTAGCTTAGCTGAGGTACACTTGACCCCTCCCCTCATATTCCCAGATTCTGTTTCCTAGAAAAATTAGGTTAAGTGGATTAAGAGGCAGAGTGACATTGGGGATGAAACTGTGAGCAGAGGACAAACTGGGGGGAGGGATGGGAAGCCATATGGGAAGAATACATAGGGATAGGTGCTTGAGATGGGAGGTAGAAGGTAGGTGGTGGTCAGAGAGTATACAGATTTAAGGAATGTAGACAGGGAAGGATGCAGGTTAGAGGACCAAGACTTATGGTTTAGAAAGGACAAGGGTCAGAGATCATACAGTCTGGCTTTATGGAAATCTAGGATTCAAGGCTTCACCACCTTCCTGTAACCGCCTGTTCTTCCATCAATACCTCTTTACCTTCCCTTCCATAAGTCCCCTCTCCATTTGCTCTCCTGGATATTTAACTGATGTCTCGTCTTCCTTCAAGTGACATACTCCCACCCCTCCCTTGATCCAAAAGATCCCTAACTTTTCTTGCCTGTATCTATAGCTTCCAGTGGTGCCCGTGGACTGAAGGCAAAATTTGAGTCCATGGCTGAGGAGAAGAAGAAGCGGGAAGAAGAAGAGAAGACACAGCAGATAGCCAGGCAGCAACAGGAGCGAAAGGCCCTGGTAAAGATGAGCCATGAGGCTCAGCAACCAGCAGCCACTGTGAAAGAGCCAGCAGTGCCAGCCCCATTGCCTAAGAAAATCTCCTCAGAGGTGAGTTCTTAACGCTGTGGGATCCTTCTCCAGGATCCCTTGCCCAGACAGGAGCCTAAAGGGTCCAAATCATTGCTAGAAAAAAGGCACAGGCTTCCCCTTTGTTAAGCAAATTCTATGTAAGTGCTATTCCTGCCTCAGGAAGATTTCAGTCTGAATGTGTAACTGGGATTTCTGTATACCAGAATGTTAGAAAAAAAAAAACAAGATGTACACAGTATAACAGAAGACAGGTCACCAGCCAGTGCAGCCAATCATTGATGCAGGAACTGAGAGGAAGGAGTCCATCTTGAGGGATGAGTTGGATTTGGATTGGCAGAGGTGGAGGGGGTGTTGCAGGTCAGTATAAGAGAGAAGATGGAGACTTGCTTGCTTATTGGTAAGATGCTTTATTCTCCACAGGTCTGGCCTCCAGCAGGGAGTTGTTCATCATCAGAGCCTGAGCCTGTGAGAACCAGCAGGGAACACCCATTGCCTTCCCTGCCCTCAAGGCAGAAAACTCCAGAGGTTAGCAGAACCCCAAAGATTCTCTGTCACTTCCCCATCTCCTCATGTTCTAGAGTATGACCAACAATCCTCATTTGTCTGAGACTGTCCTGATCTTAATATTGATAGACCTGCATTCTGGGAAACCACCTAGTCCTAGGAAGACTAGGAGAGTTAGTCATCCTAGCTATGGTATTCCCAACAATGTACTTCTGCTTCAATGTTTGCTTGGGCTTCCAAGGAACCTGACTTGCTTCCCATTTCCCTTTTCTCACACCTTTTACATTCCTCTCCTATCATCTCTTGATAGGTGTTTTGAGTGGGTATGTGTGGGAAGAGGTTGAAGAATGAAGAATGGATGAATGACTGTATCCTAGGAGAGGCTGTTAGATGGAAGCAAGAGTGATGGGTGGGCTCTTAGCAGTCCTCCATTGGGAAGTAACTACCAGTGAATTCAAGTCACCCTTCTCTACACTGTCTCTTTTCAGGATGATGAGGAGCCCCCAGCTTTGCCCCCCAGGACTCTGGAAGGCCTCCAAGTCGAGGAAGAGCCAGATTACGAAGTACAGCCTGTTTATGAAGAAGAGCCTGTTTATGAAGCAGAACCTGAGCCTGAGCCTGAGCCTGCGCCTGAGCCTGAGCCTGAGATTGAGAATGACTATGAGGATGTTGGACAGATGGACAGAAATGACCTAGATGATGAACAAGAAGGAGATTATGAGGATGTGCTGGAGCCTGAGAATCCCTCATTTTCCTCCTCTCTGGTTGGTGAGTGGTCAAGGGAGAATCAGCTCCTGAATTTAGTCAGGTCTAGGGGACAGTAAGAGGAAGTATTGCCTCATTACCTAGAAGAACCTGTTTATTTTTTTTGTCCATGTTAGTGAAACCATGTTTGTGTTTCTCATAATGCAGGATCATCAGGCTGTCCGGTTGGGGCTGGGATCTCAGCTGTAGCCCTGTATGATTACCAAGGAGGTAGGTTGGGAGTGACCTGAGGTGTCTGGTGCTTGAAGGCCCTTGAAACAAGAGAGGGGATGAATTCTGAGGGTCACATAAGTGTCCAGGCTTGGCATCAAGAAGACCAGCCCTATTTCCCTTCCTGAGATTTAGAGTGGGCATGGGGATGGAGGGATTCCTGTCTGACCATCCTAATATTCCATCAATTTCCTCTCCAGAGGGAAGTGATGAGATTTCCTTTGATCCAAATGACATCATCACTGACATTGAGATGGTGGACGAAGGCTGGTGGCGGGGACGTTGCCATGACCGCTTTGGACTCTTCCCTGCAAATTATGTCAACCTCCTCCAGTAAATGGCCCTCATCGTATTCTGCACTGTGATTTCCCATGTCCAAAGTGGCTCTGCCTTCACCCCCTCCCTTCCTGTTGCAGTGTCTAATAGGATGTCATGAGTTGCCTGAGGTTCTAGATAGACTTCCCTCTCCCTCTCCCTCAGGGTTTGGGGCAGAGAGAGCATAAGGAAGAAGCTCTCCTTCAGAGTACTCTCTATCCTGTGTGAGCTTACAGACATTTATCTTGTCCCACCTCCTTCCCCATGAGTGTTTCCTCTAATGCCTCAGGTTCTGCCTTCTGCTTTTGTGAGCTCTGAGCTTCCTGTTTTGCTTACCTGGGAAGGTATGTCTAGATTTCCTGGTTTACCTGGTTGTGCTGTTTGCTTGCTTTCCTACCCTACAGAATCTTTTCTCTGCTCAGTCTTAAAATTGGAAATAAGCCTGGCCAGTGTGGCTTAGGGGTTGAGCATCGACCCATGCACCAAGAGATTGCCAGTTTGATTCCCAGTCAGGGCACATGCCCAGGCTGTGGGCCAAATCCCCAGTGGGGGGCATGCAGGAGGCGACCAGTCTATGTCCCCTTTCATCGATGTTTCTCTCTCTCGCTCCCTCTCTATAAAAAAAAAAATCAATAAAAAGAAAAAAAATATTTTTTTATTGGAAATAAAATGAGACTATGTTTCACCTCTAGGCTGAGGTAACTAGTGCTTTTTGTGCAGCCCTCAGTGGCTTTGACTTTCATGGCTCCAATTCTTCTTCCCTCTTTCAGTCATATGCAGAAGACCCCCTCCTACCACTGCTCATTCCCCTGTGCCTGGATGTCTAGGGCTTGGCCTTTTCCTTAGGCTGTACTTTTAAACCCAGTGCTAAATAGATCAGCCTGGGGAATGGTGGTAAGGTAGGGGAGCAGAAGGCCATGTAGAATTTCTACTGGCTTCAGCCAGCCACCTTCTGCCTTGGAGTAATGACTACACTCTTTTAGGACATGATGATCATGATGATTCTTGAGGAAGCAGCACAAATTAGAGATTAGGAAGGAGGAAAAGGGAGGTTTGGCAACAAAAAAAGTCAAAAGTTAAAAGAATACAGGCTCCAATGAAGTGGTAAGAGGATTTAACTAGAGACAATGTCCTGTACTCTTTGTAGCTGAATGACTGAAATTGATGGCCAAGTAAGAGGGTAGATGGAAGAAGCTCATGAAGTTTCTTTGTGGTTTAGGGCTGAGGCTAATTTGGACAGCCAGTGTTGGGCAACAAGCTAATCACCAAGCAAAGTATGGGGATGAAGGAGAATGAGAGGGCAGGGCATGGTGGGTTTATCCTAGCCCAGCCCATTGTGCTGCATAAGGCCAGAGATAGTGGCAGCTAGGATTAGTGACAGAGATCCACAGGTGTTCCAGGACTTCCTAAAGTTGTGAGTTGCACACATGCCTAGAGCACTGTGTCCCTCAGGCTTGTTCCTTGGCTTTTCTTTAAGACACACTCTTATTTCCACAATGACTTCTATGCCAGTGAATCACAAATCAGTCTCTAGACCTAACTTACAAGATTCACCCAAAATTGAACTGCCTTTTGACCCAGTGATCCCACTTCTAGGAATATATCCTAAGAAGCCTGAAACACCAATCAGAAAGAATATATGTACCCCGATGTTCATAGCAGCACTATTTACAATTGCTAAGATCTAGAAGCAGCCCAAGTGTCCTTCAATAGATGAGTGGATAAAAAAGCTGTGGTTCATACACACAATGGAACATTATGCAACTGTAAGAAGGAAAGATCTCTTATTCTTTGAGATGACATGGAGGGACCTGGAGAGTATTATGCTACACGAAGTAAGCCAATCAGAGAAAGACAAATACCACATGATTGCACTATTTGTGGAATATAATGAGCAGAAGAAGCTGATGAACAGAACAGACCCAGAGACATAGAAAGGAGTATAGTTCAGACTGACAAAGCCCTGAAGGGCTTTCTCAGTGGTTAGAGCGTCAGCCTGTGGTCCTGAGAGACCTGGGTTTGGTTCCCGCTAAGGGCATGTACCTTGGTTGCAGTTTGTCCCAGGCCCTGGTTGGTCGTGCGGGTGGCAGCCACTCCATGTGTCCCTTTCACATCGATGTTTCTCTCTCTTTTTCCCTCCCACTCTGAACAAAAAATGGAAAAATGTCCTCAGGTGAGGATAAAAAAAAAAAAAAAAGTGGAATATAATGAACAGAAGAAGCTGATGAACAGAACAGACCCAGAGACATAGAAAGGAGTATGGTTCAGACTGACAAACATCAGGGGTGGGGGGTTGGGGGGGGTGAGATAAACCAAAGAACTTATATGCATGTGTGCGTAACCAATGGTCATAGACAACACTGCTTGGCAGGGAGCAGGATAGGAAGAAGGGTGTCTGCAGGGGGGGGGGGGGCGGGGGGAGGAGAAGAAACATCTGTAACAAAAATTAATTAATTAAAAAAATGGAAAACAAACAAACAAAAAAAAGATTCATCCAGTTAGCTTTTCAGAGTACAAAGCAGCTTCTATTACTGCTTATAGAGACATTGGGATTTCCAGGCTTCCAGAGGTAAGTCATCATAGATATATACGTTCCCATTCTTCACTCCAGCTTTATTTGACATCATACATAGATCAGAATTTTACAATGTTTTTCTGGTTATATCTCCAGGTCCCACCTTGCTTTTCACTTTTCCCTTTATTGTAAGACAGAAACTTCTTTTCCAGATCTCTGTGCTATTAAGGCAACAACTCTACAGAACTGCCTTAGTTCTACAGACCTCACCCTCCAAGTTTGGCTCATTTCTACTCTGAACCGATCAAGGCTCCTGGTCCGGGTGCACAGTCCCTTTCCACTCTCCTCAGTCCTGCTTAGTCTGAAGCCATGTCTAACCGCCTTGTCTCAGTCGGATAATGCTTGCCGCTCACTACAGCCTATCTCACTAACCACATCATCTTCTGTCTAGTTCAGTCTCTGTAAAAGGTTTTCCTTTTGCCCCAACTGCCCCCTCACCATAAAATGTCCTCGTTTGTGTAGACCAGTGCATACCTGCAGTACCTGCTTTTCTGCAACATTTACAATTAGATATCTTATCAAATGTGTTTGATTATGTTGATCAATTCAGCATTGCTCTCAAGGTAGCAACCGAGAAGGTAAAGTGCAACTGGAAGTGTGCAGCCCACAGAGCAGTGTGGCCCCGTGTGCTCTCTGCAGCCCTGGCCTGCCCTGCTCTCTTTCTTCCTCTCTACGTCTCACCCATCTAACAGGAGCCCCTAGTGTTCATCTCCCTTGGCCTGGAGCTTCCTTTTATCTCTTTTTTTCTAGTAAAATGAGAACTCATAATGGACTTTAGGAGCTCTCTTTTTCCATATAGGAAGGACTAGAGCCCAAATTCGCGGAGCTGATACCTGGAGAACTCTCCCTTTTCCCCTCTTCAGTGTTTAGTTGTTTCCAGTTACTCATCTTCACTGAATAAAATCTTAGCTCACACTCTAGTTATATTTTTAGGAAATGGTGCCTTATATACAAATGTGAAATATAAAACAAACGATAAGGATGAGGACAAAACATACATCTGTTCCGGGACTTGAGCGAATACCTCCTGACTCTCCTCAGAGGTGCCACCTACTTCCTCTGCACCAGCTTCGGGCCACCTACTTCCTCTGCACCAGCTTCGGGCCTGTTCAGAGAGAGAGCCAGGCGATGACAAGCACCCAGATCCACTGGCCCCCTGTTGTTGTTGGCTAAATTGTTTGTTCTGTACTTCCCCACAACGCCTGTCCTGCTGTTCGCTTCTTTATCACCTGCATGAGGACTGTTAAGACGGCTGAGAAAATGGCACCAATAAAAGTGAAAGGGATGTAAACCTGATAAATAGCTGACCTTTCCTGGCTTCAACTACACCTGGAGAAAAGGATAAGCTTTTGCACGTGACCCCAGGGCGTGAAGCCATCCCAAACAAACTAGCTCCATCTGGTTCCCGCCTTAATAAACTCTCCATGTGTCTAGAACTGTTTAGTAAATAGAGATGAGCGGATGAAATCATCACCATTGTAGACGACTATGTGTGAGAGGAGACTGTGTTGCTCTAAACAGCTGATCCTAACTGACTGCCGCTGGTGTGTCATCCTGTAGGACAGCGGTTCTCAGGGTACTTAATAATGTCTGGAGATATTTTTGGTTGTTACAGCTGTGGGGTGCTACTGGCATCTATGACCAGAGGCTAAGGATGCTGCGAGATATACTATAACACACAGGACAGTCCCTCACGACAAACTTTTACTCAGTGCACAATGTCAGCAGTTCCCAGAAACCCTGCTTTAGGGGAAGTCAGTTTCAATTATGCATTTTTCTTTTACTTTTGTTCTCATGAGCATTCACTATTTATTACTCAAAACTAGCCATGGGACCCATTTTTGACAGACTGGAGTCATAACCAGTAATAGGTAGGAGCAATTACAGGGAATCATTATGTTCCCATGACTTCCTTCCCAAGATCCCCATGGGGTCCTCAGGTGGTATCTGGGACCTGGTGACTGTTGCCGCAGGACCTGCGGTGGGTGCTGGTGCTGGGCTATGCCTATATTCTCCCTAATCCAGACCTAGAATATAATTTTCAGAAGAGAAGAACCTTGACTCTTAAGTCATTATTAAAGTGTTTGAATACAAGCTAGAGGCTTTTGTTCTAACTTTTTCCATGAATATAGTGTCCCTTTTGGACTCTTCATTTTTCAAGATTCTACACAACAAACTCTGTGACCTTATTTCTGCTGTTCATCCTTCAGTTGTGGTGTCCTCAAGGCAGCTGTGCTCAGCCAAGGTCTCTATTCTGTCGGGCTGTGTCTGACTGTCTGGGCTTAGGGGCAGTGGGGCAGCTATAAACAGCCCTGGACTTGAATGTCAAGACAACCCCATCTCCAGAACCTTCACTGTGTGCCCTTCGCCATGGAGGACTGGCACCTCAGCCTGCATTCCTGCACTGCCTGTCCCACATATTTGAACGTGCTTGTAAACTGAAACCCCCCATAAAAGCGCAGGCCTATGCTGGTTATGGAATTCATTGCTCTCTCGTCTCTTAAGGAACTGGGCTTATCTTCCTCAATGACCTCCAGTTACCTATTTTCTCTTCAGACTGAATTATTTTAGAAATAAAAAAGGAAAGGCGGTATGTCATCAATATGGTTCTATAGCAATTGTACAAGGCAGGGCTTAGGAAATTCTTAGACCCTGTGCAACTGCTTAGGTTTTAAAAGACATTGCATGTTCTAATACACCCAGGTAAGCATATATGAAGTTTACAGAGGAAGTCCCCAAAACATGCTCTGTCCTACTTTCAGTAACTCCGAGGAGGAATTCAAGACTTGTGGGATCTGAATCTTTAGTTGGCTTGTCTTCCTTTGGCTCTGGCTCTGAAGGTGGTGACTAAGCTCTCTCGGGTCTGCTCCTGGGGCTCACACATGCTGGTCAAAAGAATTGGGTCAGTCTTGTGCTCTACCACGTTGAAAGGACAGGTCTTCAGGTGCTCAGACATGGA